ACTGGCTACAGTTTTACTCGGCTGGGGTTTTTTTGAGGGCAAAAAGCACACAGAGGTGAGAAAAATGGAAAAGGGAAGTGCTTTGAGTTTGCTTTCATTCCTGAGAACTGTAAGTCTTGTGAAATTAGATTTACCAGCTGGTTTTCCTGTTCTGCTCCAAAGCCATAGCAAGGCCTGCAAGAAGCATTGCCCACCCAGGATAGTGAGTGGCAGCGAAATGGGGCAGCAGCAGCCATTGGAGTTGCTCTCTACCCTGGGTTAAATACAGTGCCTAAACAACTGTTTCTCAGTTAGTGTTAACCCTGATTTCATTAGCCAGATGATGTCTCATCAAAGCAATCTGTTCCTTTAGCCAGCTTTTTAAATATTGTGATAGGCTTCATTTCTCCAAATGCCGCATTGCTGAACGGATGCCATCAGAGCATGTGCATCTTGGCACTGGCATTAACGGGTGTACTCTGGAATGTGCTAGGAAGGCACTAACCTGAAAAATGCTTGCTCTCTCATGAAGAGATACCCCCAGATCCCAGCCCTCCAAGATGAAGTGCCTCTTCCCGTCTTGCCCACATGAACCCAACTGAGAAAAATTCACCTGGATTTGGGACTGGAGCAGCAAATTGAAGTACCCCACCCCATCTTGCTGCAAGAAAGTGACACCATTTACATGGTAAGAGGGAAATTGAGAAAATGGATACAAAAACTCAGTATTTTTTTTTCCCCATAAAAAGATAAGTAAAAAACCATGATGGCAAATACATGGGATAAACAGGACTTGCCCATGATACAGTAAGGGTCCTAACTCTGCTGGAGTGGGTCCAGAAACGGGCAACGAAAGTGGTGAAGGGCCTGGAGCACAAGTCTGATGAGGAGCAGCTGAGAAAACTGGGAGGTTTAGTCTGGAGATATGAAGCCTCAGGGGCAAACTTATCACTCTCTACAACTGCCTGAAAGGAGGATGGAGCCAGGAGGTGGCTGGTCTCTTCTACCCCGTAACAAGTGATAGAACAAGAGGAAACAGCCTCAAGCTGCACTGGGGAGGTTCAGACTGGATATTAGGAGCAATTTCTTTGCCAAAAAGGGTGGTCAGCCGTTGGAACAGGCTGCCCAGGGAAGTGGTGGAGTCACCATCCCTGGAAGTGTTCAGAAACTGTGTAAATGAGAAGAAACCTTGAAGTGCTGGTGTGTGCAGATGAGAACTGCAGCTTGGCAAGTGCAAGGGGTGATTTAAACAGCAAAAGCGTTCAAGCCATGTGTTGGGCAGCTCTGCCCATGCAGGAGCCCCCCCAGCTCCTCCACAGACTCAGTGCTTTGCTAGGTTTCAGGAGTTTGGGGTTTTTCCCCTGTCTCCTGCTGCCTAGTGAGACTTACATTGCTAGGTGCGTACCCCTGGATGCCAGAGATTTCAGCTCCCGGGCTGGGCACCACTGAGCCAGAGCCACTGTGGGAGCTGGGTGGGGCACATGGGCATGTGTTAGCAAATGTCTCCTTTTCACACTGGGCTCTGCTTTTGGTTCTTCTTTTTATTCTTCTTCTTTAAAAGATCTTAAGGGAAATTGTACCTTGATTCCCAAAAGGTGGTCAAAAGAGCCACATAACTCCCTGTGAGACCCTTTCCATATAAAGGTACAGCTACAAAGAAGTCCAGAAGCAAAAATATCAAGTTAGACCAAGTCCAGCCTGGCCATGCCTTTGGGGCCACAGTCTGGTAGCTGATACAACCCTCAGCTACTACAACTCCCCCCCCTTCTGGGAGCCCTCCCAGCTGCAAATACCCCAAACAATCAGCTGACCGAAGCCCATAGCTCTGTCACCATGTTTCCAGCCTGGCGTGGACTCCCAGGCTTGCATGGACATGATTCCTTTCACAAGACTTCTTGCTTTCTTCCTGGGAGCCTCCCACTCCAGCTCCTCAATGTGATACCTAAAGTCATTTCCCATCTGCAGGGCTTATTCCCAGAAAGCCATGTACTGGCTACTGATTTCTGGGTGTGAAAATTAATCTGTGCCAGCCAGAGGACAGCAGTTGCCTTGCACTTGCAAGCCACAGAGGGAGATAAGGTTGCAGACACCACCCCGGATTACAAGGGAACAGCAGTCAGAATCTGCCCCCGATGCCTCAAGCAGCTTTCTCTGCATCCCTGCACCCCTCCAAGCAATCTCTCACTTCAGTGCCAGCACCCTCTCTCTCACCAGAGCCCCTTTTCCAAGGTGTAACTCTAGTACCAGCAGGTTTTGCTCAAGGGGATTACCTGAACACAGCCCAGCCTGTGTACCCAACTGCAGCTGAGCTGGGGTTATAGACGGAGCCTGAAAGCTCCTCCATAATCAGCTATCACAACCTCAGCCTCACACCCACACCCTGCAGGCTGTGTTTGTGCACAGCCCTGATGGGATTTTATCAATGTTTGCACAGCCAAGTACATGCTGTGAGCTGCAGCTGAAATCCTTCCTTAGAGAATGTGCATAGCATTTTCTTGAGCCACCTCATCGTAGAAAGCAACTTGAGCAAGGTTTCTACTGTGGAAGGAGCACCTGGCTCCTGAGCTATCACTGCACTTCCCAAGGGCCCCACACCAGTTCTGGGATAAAAGGCAAAAAAGATCAAGTCCCTGCTGTGTGCCAAAACTGAGAGCCTGGAAACCAACAGACAAAACCCTCTCGTTCGCAGTCCTACATGGAGTTGTTTCAGATAGTTTAACATACCAAAACCAGAGTTAGATAAAACGGAAGACCAAGCACTGTCAGACCATCAGGTCATAGAAAAGTTTGGCAGTCTCTATATATCCTTGGCTTAGCCTAGTCTACAGCCAGCCACCCATGCTTTTGCACTGCTCAGAAAGTGAGGTCCTTCTGGGGACCTTGACTACCAGAAGAACAGGAGTGGTGCCAAAGCCCTCAGAAACAAGTGCAGCTCGTGCTTTGATACCCACCTTACCAAGGATTAATGACTTACCCTTGTCCCTGCATGCAGCTGCAGATGGATCCCCCTCTTCCTGCCTCCCAGAGATCGTACATCTTGAGGAAGGGGAGTTGACACTAGAGAACATGGCCAAAATGACTTCCAAAACAAACAGAAAGTTCAAACCAAGCCCCTCCCCCCAAAAAAAATCATAACTACTAAGCAAGAAAGGAAATGCATGAAAATGTTCCTTGTTTTAGCAAAATTCAAGGCATTCTCTTTGAAATAAAAACCTAGTTCTCCTGTAAAAGCTAACTGATATTTTTTGATCAACTCCACCACAGGGAGAAGTTCATCTAAAGAAACAGGAATTCTGGTAGCATAAGCTCCAAGATAGGACATCTGATGGAGGAGCTTTCCCTTTTCTGAATGATGTTTACTTGCTTTCAGGTTTTCAAACCTATAACTAACTTGCTAATGAGCTCAAAATCTCAGCTCCCTAAATCCCACTGGAGCTGCTGTTGCTGCTGCAGTCTTATACTGGCAGGGTTAGGGAGGGAAAAACCTACCTTGTTGACATCTCAGGTAGTCAGAGAGGTTCAAAACAGCATTGTCCTGGGTTCAGCAGTAGCAGTCATTTTTCTTCTTCTTAGTAGCTGGTGCAGTACTGTGGTTTTGACTTTCAGCCTGGGAACAATGCTGATAACACCGATTTTAGTTGTTGCTCAGCAATGTTTACTCTGACCAAGGACTTTCTGAGCCTCATGCTCTGCCAGGGAGGAGGGGAAGCCAGGAAGAAGCAGAGACAGGACACCTGACCCAAACTAACCAAAGAGGTATTCCATACCACAGCACATCATGCCCACTATATAAACTGGGGGCAGTTGCCCATAGGGGTTAGATCGCTGCTTGGGTCAGGCTGGGTATTGGTCAGTGAGTGGTGAGTGGTTGTATTCTCTTCCCTTTTTACTTCCCTTATCATTATTATTATTGGTGGTAGCAGTAGTGATCTGTGTTATACCTTAGTTACTGCACTGTTCTTATCTCAACCTGTGGGAGTTACATTATTTCGATTCTCCTCCCCATCCCTCCGGGAGCAGGGGGAGGGGGGAGTGAGCGAGCAGCTGCATGGTTCTTAGTTACCGGCTGGGCTTAAACCATGACAGTTCCTTCTGGTGCCCAGTGTGGGGCACGAAGGGTCGAGATAACGACAGATCTGACCAGAGTGTGTCTAATCATATTTATGATAAGCAGTCATTGTTTTGGATTAATAGTCACTTGTCACAGTGCTGATTTATTGGCTCTCAGAGTTGTTGCTCTTGATCTCACAGTTTCAGCATGTCATACCTTACTTACAGCTGGTGTTTGCTGTCTTAGTGTTTATTGGCTGGCGGGCTTGTGCTAAGGTTCTTGTTTCGCTGTACTTTATGGTAATGACTTGTAATACAATAGACTCATTGATCATGGAACTGATCTGGCTTGTGTTCCCAGTGTGGTCATCACCTCTATACTTCGGGAGGTATGTAATAGGAGTGTTTAGCAATTACACACCTTTATTTTTTAGCTCCTCAGGTGACCAACCTATGAAGGAGTCATTCCCTTATTTTCCCAGCTCCCCCACCAGACTACAGCATCATTTGAGAGTTCTGAAGGTTTTGGATGGCCTTTAGGTACCCTTGAGACCTGCCTGCTGATTGTGATGGGGATCACCGTGTTGGCACACATACAGAGCGTGTTTTAACGCGTGACCATTTCGTCTGTTCTCTAAAGTTAAGCAGAGTTAGGTTTTGGCCTTGTCTAGGGTGCGATGATGATACAGAAGGACCGAAAGATTTTCCCCGAGGCTGGACAGTCATGAGAGGCAGGGTGTGTGGCTCAGTACGGGCACGGATCTAGGCCAGCGGGCCCCTACAGTGGGCGCGGCGCGATTTTCCTCCACACCTCCCCGTGGCTCCCCAGGGCCGCCGCGGAGCTGGCTGCAGTCCCCGCCTATCCGGGGCGGGGCGGTGCGGCTTTTACCGGGTCCCCCTCCCCCCCGCTCGCTGCCGCCGGGGCTGGAGGTGCCGTCAGAGGCAGCGGAGCCGCCCGCAGGTAGGAGCCGTCCGGCAGCGGCTGGGAGCGGCCGTTGGGAGCCCGGCCCCTCCTGGGCCTGCCTGGCGCAAGCATGTTTCTTTCCTCCCCGGTGGCCGTGCTGTGTCTGGGTGAGAAGGAGCAGGCGGGCTGCGGGTGGCGAGCGCTCACCTCCCTGAGGGGCCGGCGGCAGGTGCCGCAGCGCCGGTCAGTAGCTGGAGTCCCGGTCCTGGTTATCCGCCCCGGAGCTTGCTGGTGTAGGCGCAGGGTGGTGAACACGGCTAGAGCCGCTTAACCCCGGGCCTGAAGGAGCCTGCTGTGGGAGAGAGCTCCTAGATTATGGTGTCGGCGTCCCTCTTCCCCTGGAGCGCCCCTGTGGCATCCTTTCGGGGTTGGGAGAGGTGAGCTCGGTGGGGCCATCTGCCAGGGCCTCTTCGCATGGGTCTGTATAGAAAATTTCCTGGGTTTAGGCTGTGGAGTGGGAAGGTCCTGCCTTCTCCAAATCCTGTCGGGATGCCTGGGGTGCAGGAGTGAAGAGGTTTCAAGCAAGGCTGTTCATGCCTAGTGCTGTCTGTTAGGGAAGGAAGTGTGGGATCCTGCCCATGAATGGTAGAAAGGGAAAAGCCGATGCTGGGTGCTAATGTCCCAGGGTGCTGAGGGGGTCACTTGTGGTCTCAGTCAGCTTTTTCTCTGGCATGCTTGTGCCAGACCTTTGATTCAGAGCCTTCAGGTTGTAAAGGTTGGAGAAACACTGAACTAACCCTCCCTTCTGCTTCTTATTTATTTATTATTTGTTTTAACAAAGCTTTTCAGGAAAGTGACCTTAAGGACTGTTTAATCGATATTCACACAGTCCTTACGCCAACCAACAGTACACTTGCATGGTTAATTATGAATAGCAACTCAATATGGAAGGGGGGAAGGGTGCGAAAGGTATATCCTAGCACACTGACTGCCTGTTATGTCTTGCTCAAATGGATAAAACTGCCTAAAAGAAGGGGGCTTCTTCCTGCTGGCTTTCTGCCTTTGCATAACAGGGTAAAAAAAGAACAGGTACTCATACTTGCTTGATAAACATCTGGCTCCTGTTTTCACTGTTCAAAGTCAAATTATTTTCCTTGTGCCCAGCTGTTGGCATTTTCTGAGCCCGGGTGGTGGAAGTCAGTGCTGTTGTTTCATTTCCCTGCCTAAGATTCTCTGTGCTGCAGTTTTTGCTTTTTCAGATGCAGAGCAGGGATGTGTGACTATGAACACCAGCATTTCCAATTGCTTTTTCTTGGAAGAAATCTCTTTAGCATGGTTTTCTCTTCTCCCCTAGCTGTTTCTGGGCAGCCTGAGATTGTGAGGATAAGTGGGAGCAAAGAAGCAGAGGAGGGTCTGTGGGAAATAGGAGATATGGTCCTAGGCAAGAGTATGAGAAGTATAAACTGTGAAGGCCGGGGGGTGGGGTGGGGTGGGGGTGGCTGGCAGATAAGGAGGTTGCTGTTGCAGTAGAGGGCTTAGACCAGGATTCAGTGGATGCTCCTCTGTGCCACCAATTGCCTGTGTGACCTCATGGTCACTACCCCAGTTTTCTAAAATACAAATAATGGTATTTTTTGCTGTCTCAAGAAGACCTGTAAAGGTCTCTAGGTGCCTGGGTCCCTGGCCTTGCATCCCTACAGGTGGCAGAGGTTGCACCTGAAGTGCAGTGATGAAGGCAGGATGAGAGGGGTGAAAGGGAAGCAAAGCACATTGGGAACAATTGGAGGGAGAAGGGTGCAGTGAATGAGGGGAGAGGGAGGAGAGGTATAGAAGACTGATGAAGCCTCAGAAGCCGCTAAAGGAACTGTTAAAGTAGCTACAGATTACCTTGCATGGGGTTTAATGCAGATTTTTAATGTTGAGGTTGCTTCTGCATGGTCATGCCTGCAAGGGAGAAATGCCTACTAGAACAGCATCCTCTGTGAGAGTGCTGCTCGCTTAGTCGAGGAGTGTTTGCTTTTGGCAGGCATGCAGCCCTGCCTCCCTCACGGAGGGCTGCTTCTGTGTGCAGGACCGGAGGGAAGCCCGCCCTCCACCTTGCCAGCGCCACAATCAGAGGCCTCCTCCCTAGCACCCAGCACTTGCTGAGCTGTGCTCCTGTGTGGAGCAGGGTACGTTTGGCAGGTCTGGTGGGACGGGAGGCAGAAGTGCTCCCTGGTGCCAGTAGGAGAGGTCTGACTGCCTCTCCCATGAGGAGCCCTGGGAAGGGACTGTCTGCTGCCAGTCTGCTGCAACGGTGGAGGGAGCACCTGGATTCCTCTTTTTGATTTCCAGAGTGGGGCAGATCCAGGTAGTTGGGGAAAGAAATTCTGCCCTCCCAGTCTTATTTCCTGCTCCCTGTGCCAAACTGCTGGGATTAGTAGTGGTGGCTGCCTGAGCAAGAAGACATTTTTGTTACCGCAGGGCTGTTACTAGGTCCTGCACTTGGGCCACAACAAGCCCATGGAACTCTGCAGGCTTGGGAAAGAGTGGCTGGAAAGCTGCCCAAAGGAAAAGCACCTGGGGGTGCTGATAGAGCTGAACATGAGGCAGCTTATACCCAGGCAGCCAAGAAGGTCAACAGCATCCTGGCCTGTACAAAAGCAGTGTGGTCAGGAGGAGTGGAGCAGTGTAGTGATCATGGCCCTGTACTCAGCACTGGTGACGCCGCACCTCAAATCCTGTGTTAGGTTCTGGGCCTCTCACTGCAAAAGAGAAATTGAGGTGCTGGAGCAGGTCCAGAGAAGGATTATGAAGCTGGTGAGGGGTCTGGAGCACAAGTTTGATGAGGAACGGCTAAGGGAACTGGGGGCTTTAGTCTGGAGAAGGCTCAAGAGGGGACCTGATCGCTATCGCCAACTACCTGAAAGGAGTATGTAGTGAGATGGGGTCGGTCTCTCCTCCCACGTAACAAGTGACAGGACAAGAGGTAACAGCCTCAAGCTGCACCAGGGGAGATTTAGCCTGGATCTTAGGAACAATTTCTTCACCAGAAGGGTGGTGAGGCATTGGAACAGGCTGCCCAGGGTAGTGGTGGTGTCAGTGTCCCTGGAAGTGTTTGTAAAGTGTGTAGCCAAGGCCTTTAGTGACAGGGCTTAGTGATGGACTTGATGTCAGGGAGAGTCTCCCCAGTGTGATCTTGGCCCAGATGAATATTCTTAGAAGTGGTTTAATGCTGTCTCTTGCGGCACAGAAAAGTCTGTCTCTGAAAACATTTCAAAAGACAGCAGAAGTTTTAAGCGCTCTGGATGATGGAGATTCTGGTCAGAGCAGGCTTGCAGGCTTGACCCCTGATTAATGAGTGGAAGCTGTTCTCTGGTCCCCTCTGTCAATTGTGTTTGCAACAGGTTTGCATGAAGTGAAATGTTGTTTGTCACCTTCCTCCTGTAACTCACCTGGGTACCCTGCAAACAGCAATTTATGGTTGCAGCAGCCTGGAATACCAGTAAATAAATGTAACTAATTCCTGAAAATGAGAGATGCTGGCATGGCAGTGAGGAACACCACAGAAACGCCTCTGTATGGTTGCTTACCTTGTGCTTGTCTCAGGGCGAATGACTCCCACAGGTCTCAGCGGAGCCAAAAGACTGACATGGTAGTTTATACCCTTGACACCCTCTATGCTGGGCTCCCCCCCTAAAGAAAGGGGACCTCGGTTTGCCATGTGAGTAGTGGCTGAAGAGGCTGGTGAGGGAAAATTGCTCCGTGTGCTGTGCCATTGTTTCTTAAAGCTCACAGGCCTTGTGTTTTCCCCATGACTGATAAGTGCAGACTGCTTGGTATTTACACTTCTGCTGGTGTAAATGCCAGTGGTGTTGACTCGTGTAGCTGAAGGAAATGCTGCTTTGAGGACAGTGCACATATCTTCAAAAATGTAGAGCTGCAAAGTGCAGTGAAGAAAGGAGCTTGTGTTTCCAAGTGGTAGATAAAAAAGGGGTGGAAGAGGCAGGAGAAGTGAAAGATGAGATGAACAGAAGAGCCCTGCTTATTAGGCATGGGAAGCTCTGTAGCTTGAGTGTATGTTTTGTGTTTGCTGGGGACGAAACAAGGCAAGGTAGCAAAGGGAGTGAGACCTGGAACTGTTCTTGCATTCTAGGGCATGCGCTCTCATCCAAAAAATACAGGAGAAGGAGACAATATAACCAGGAGTAACTGCTCTGTCCAGTCTGCTCTTCTGAGCTTAGTCTGTCTTTCTTTACCTTCAAAGCTGTCTGTAAGTCAGCATGACATACCTGTCTCTTTCTTCACCAGGTTTCACTTCCCTGTGGTGTTCACCACTCCCTACACTTACATTGTTTTCCTGATAATGGGACAAACCTTTCAGCAGGCTTCCTATTCCCTTCCGTTGTAATGCGTGTCTTTGTTTTGCTTGCTCATGCACATTAGAAATGCTTGAAGGCATTCATGTTTTTTGGAAATAAAACACCTCCGCAGACCCTATCAATCTGTTAATACACTGTTGTTATCACTGTACCTTATGGGAGGAGGAAACACCCGTTCTGCTTGCTGCTGGTTCAGGCAGCAGTTATTAGATTGGGGTGGTTAATGTGGAGGATGATTACTGGACAGCCTGTCTGCATGGTGCCTCAGATTTTGTTGGCTTTGCCACAACATCAGCCCGCATTTGTGTATTACTTGCAGGGCAAGGAGATGTTTTCAAGAGACTCTTTCCTCACAACATAGCTGAAGCAGGGAGAGCTTTGCTGTCTTTTGGTTTACAATGAAATAAATAACCCTCATTATTTTCTAGCAACTCTTCACTGTGGGGTTCAGATGAGACTTTGGGCAAAGTGCCATTCTCATAAGCATCCCAGACTAAAGGGCTGGCTAATAATGCAAGTTAAAAATACACCCTTGTGGTGATGGTGTGGGATTGTGAGGTTGAGTCTGCATTGAGGTTCTGCTAGAGGCTTCCCTTGCATCTCAGGAGAGCTCTGGCTAAAGTGGCCCCAGTCTTGAGTACCTCCCCTCTTGGAGAGGGAGTAAGGCATCTGCCTGGGAACAAGGGCTGTGCAACACACTCACACTATGAGGATTTGCTAGGGACTGATGCCACCCGTCTCTTGCAGCTCCTGAGGTCATTGAGGGCTGAATCTTGCAGTGGGCGCTCCCAACAGAATGGAGTCCT